TACCCGCATGGGCGCGAGCTATGCCAGCTTCTTTATAGGATTCATGGAACAGTCCCTCTTCCACACTACCCTGGCACCATCCCTCACCTCTTTCTCCACGACATTGATGACTACATCGGTGCTGCCTCATGCTTCCGCGGGGAGCTCAAGTAGTTCATCAACTTCGCCAACACCTACCAGCCCTCAAATTCACCTGGACCATTTCTGATACCTCCCTCCCCTTCCTGGGCCTCTCTGTCTCCATCTCCAGAAACCGACTCACTACTGACATCCATTTCAAACACACTGACTCCCACATCCACCTCGACAACACCTCCTCTCACCCGCCCTCCTGCAAAAATGCTATCCCATACTCTCAATTCCCGCACCTCCGCCACATCTGCTCCCAGGATGAGGCATTTTACTCCAGGACATCCCAGATATCCTCCTACTTTAGGGACCATAATTTCCGCTCCTCTGTAATTAAGGATGCCCTCAACCACATTTCCTGCACTTCTGCCCTCCAAACCCCTCCCCCCAACAACAATAAGGATAGAGTCCCCTTAGTTCTCACGTACCACCCCACCAATCTCCAAATCCAAAATATCATTCTCTGACATTTCCGTCACCTACAATCAGACCCCACCATCAAAAAGATATTTCTTTCCACACTCCTGTCTGCTTTCTGCAAGGACCATTCAATTCTGCAACTCCCTCGTCAGTTCCACACTCCCCACCAACTTCTCCACCACATCCAGTACCTTTCCCTGCAAGTGCAAGAGGTGCAACACCTGCCCCTATATCTCCCCTCTCACCTCCGTCCAAGGCCCCAAACAATCCTTCCAGATCTGGCAGAGTTTCACCTGCACTTCATCCAAACTGATCTATTGTATCTGTTGCTCCCGATGTGGTCTCTTCTATGTCAGAGAGACCAAACGCAGACTCGGGGACAAGTTCACGGAGCATCTGCACGCACCAACCAACCGGACCTTCCGGTTGCCGGCCACTTTAATTCCCCCTCCCACTCCCCTGGTGACGTCCATTCTTGGTGTCCTCCAATGTTAGAATGAGGCCCAATGTAAACAATATTGACTTCACCAGCTTCAAAATCTCTCCACCCCCAGCCTTATCCCATATTCAGCTCTCCCCCCTCCTCCTCGCCTCCCCGACCTGACCTAACTTGTCCATCTTCCTACTTACCCATCCACTCCACCATTCCCACTGACCAATCACAATAACCTCTTACCTACATCCATCTGTCACCATCCCCCGGCCCCAGCCCCACCCCCACCCACCCCCATTTATTTCTGGGCTCCCCTCCCCCTCCCCAGTCCTGACAAAGGGTTTCGGCCTGAAACGTTGACTTCCCTGCTCCTTGGATGCTGTCTGATCTGCTGTGCTTTTCCAGCCTCACATCTATTGACTCTGGCTTCCAGCATGTGCAGTCCTTACTGTCTCCATTCCATTTGCCTTCCCTGTTATCCACTGAATATAGACGCCAGCTTTTTGTGATTCATGCATTAAGACTCCAAAATCCCTCTTTTGAATGTTTCTGCTGTCTTTCTCAATTTAAACAATATTCACATCCTCTATTCTTCATGCCACAGTGCATAACCTCACATTTTCCCACAATATGTTCCATCTGCCAAATGTTTGCCCACTCACTTGTCTATGTTATTGAATCAGAGAATCACGGAGTGCAGAAGAGGCCCTTTAGCCCATCAAGTCAGTACTGATACATGAGAAACACCCCCATTTACCAACACTTGGCCCATTGCCTTGAATGTTATGCTGTGCCAAGTAACTCGGTGTCATTCCCATTGCTTGCCTTCTCACCTATTTTTGTGCCACCTGCAGACTTTCCTCATTCATTTTCCTCATCCAAGTTACCAGAGGGGGCAATGGCCTAGTGGTATTATTGCTGGACTGTTAATCCAGAGACCCAGATAATGTTCTGGGGATCCGGGTTCAAATCCCACCATGGCAGGTAGTGGAATTTGAATTCAATAAATATCTGGAATTAAGAGTCTAATGATAACCAAGAGTCTAATGATGACCATGAATCCATTGTCGATTTTTGGGGAAAAAAACACATCTGGTTCACGAATATCCTTCAGGGAAGAAAACTGCCATCCTTACCTGGTCTGGCCTACATGTGACTCCAGACCCACAGCAATGTGGGTCATTCCAAACTGCCCTCTGGGAAATTAGGGATGGGCAATAAATGATGCTTAGCCAGTGACCCCTCATCCAGTGAATGAATAAAGAAAAAAAATTAAAAATTAATATATAACTATTTTCAATCATCCTGTTCAGGGGCTTTGTGACACACTTCTGGAGCAGGTGGGACCTGGGTCTTCTGGCTTAGAGGTAGGGGCAATACTGATGCACCACGTGAGCTTATTTAACAGGTATAGTAAATAACTGTGTCCATCAACACCTCATCCACAATGAGTTCCTGATTTTAGTCACCGACTGTGTGCCATGTGTGTGACAGACATATCCCCCACCGGAGGGAGAGACACTGGTATCGGAAAGAGTAGCACCAATTGCTCTAATGTTGATGTACAGAATCAGGCAGAGCTCGGCACTTTGCTGCCTTCTCACAGCAGTAGACAAGCCATTAACCTGTGACTCAGGTAAGGAGCCCGCAACCAGATGGTAACCCGCAGCTGGAAATGTGCCAAGGATAACAGGCGAGCAGGAGCTGCGTGGCAAGCGTTTCCCTCAAGATGCATGCAGACTTGGGTAGGTTGGCACCACTGGTATTTATCAGCCAATCCCCCAGTATTGACTCGATAGGGCCTCTTCTGCACTCTGTGATTCTCTGATTCGATAACGTAGACAAGTGAGTTGGCCACTCACATTTGAAAACAGCACCTTGTGAACTGAAGTTATCCAAGCCCCAGCCGCTGGCTTGAACTAGCTCAACTCCGAGTGATGACATAAGGTAGAAATCCTTATTCGGTGGAAGAGTAATAAGGTAATCTTAACAGTGTCCTTGGGCCGGAGCCAATAATTTAGATAAAAACACAGGCTCGGAAGATGAGCCAGAACGAAGGAAGGATAAGACCCCACAGTTTAGGAAGATAAAGGAAAAAGGATAAAAACTCCAGAGATCAACCTTTGCGAAATTGAGGACTCAAGCTTGGAAGCATGGAGATAACACTGAGTACTTGGGGAATCGCCTGGCCAGTGTGAGCTCCTATTCTCAGGTTTTAGCCTTTAAATTCTGTGACTGTTCAGGGAACGTGATAGAAACGTAGCGGGTGTGTGCACAGATTTTAGTTTTTTAGTATACGCCTGCTGTTAACCTTTCCTTAAACAAACGGTGTGAACTATATATCTGTTCTAACTAAACTAATAAAGTTGGTGGTTAGTTGATACAGATTTCACTCTTTTCTCCTTCCTGCCGAGCCAATAACTGTTCTCGAGAGCAGTAATTAGTAACATAATTAGGGAAAGATAGTTCTGGGCCTTCTCCATAAACCACCAGAGTCAATGCCGAAGTTTTGTGAGAGTTATTCCATGTGGTGGTTTAAGGACAGAGTTTCCTGCTACAACATTTCAGAGGGAAGGCAAGAGTCTACAACCATTGTGTGGATTTATGTAAAAGCAGGACAGCAGGTTTTCCTCCTGGAGAAAGACTTTACCATCTGAACCCATCTGGTTCATTTCATAAGACAGCTTCAGTGTCATATTTCAAATCCAGGTCTTACTGCCAGACAAAACTCATTTCAAGTTCTCCCAACTTGTTCAAGTGCTTAGGGAAAGTTTCAGAAACATAAAAGAATTCATGAACATACACAGTTGGACAGTGAAATTAGGTAAAGTACATCTTTAGAAGGAGTATCCTGGAGCAGTGTGATTCCTAAATTAAAAGGTGGATTTATCTTCAAAGGTAAGTATTAGATTCCAGCTCTATAAACTGCAAACAACACAAATTTAAAAGTAAATCTCTCCTGAACCATATAATCATTTCATCGGTGTATACCAGTTAGCTCCAAATTTTTATTTTGATAATGACAAACTTCTAAAATATCTTTACTAGTGCCTGCGCATCTGATGAAAATTACACAATTTAAAACAGGCTTCTTGAACAAATGCACCTTTACATCAGAACAGGGGGGCAAACCTGATTTGTGCTCCTCGTTATCCTGAAACTCGCGCAGAAGTCCGCCAAAAATGCGATTTCAAGTTATTTTGAACATATCTCACTGATATTTAAAATTCTGAACAAATCATAATCAGATTGTAAACATCAATTCTGTTTCTCTCTCTACAGATGCTGCCAGACATGCCAAGTTTCTCCAGCCTTTTCTGTGTTGGTTTCAGATTCCCAATCTTTTTGCACAGATTCTGACAAATTGCACCCACCAGCACAGACACAAACTGGTAAAAGAAAGGGGAGCTCAACCCCACTGGAACGCCCCACACTCTGCAATCAAGTAAAGTCAGTCAATCAGCTGGAATGCTACGCACCTCACGGGCCCCCAAAAGAACCATTCATCACTTTCCAATCTTCAGACTGAATGAACAACTGAAACTGATTAATAATTGCTCAACACCACCTTCTCTGCATTGATGACAGTCATCAGATTTATTCAGTATATCAGTGCAGCTTTTTTAAAAGTTAAAAAAAGAATTCTACCAATACACTTCCCTCCAGTTAATTCAAATCCCCTTTCACCATCATTTCCCTATCCCTAGCATTAAACCAGCAATCTGCAGTGGCGAGGATTGGGTGGCAGGGAGAAAATATTAGAAATACACAGAAAATTGCTGGAGGTTCATTCTCTACCCAGACAACTGAAGGTTGAATTGCAAAAACAAAATCAAGTTTGAATTGTAGTGTCAGGGGTCTTTATCTGACACTTACCCAGTTACTCCCCTTCCCTGATCTGGCCTTCACTGCTTTGCCCTGAAATTCCAACTGAAAGTACTTCAAGTAGTCCCTGAAAGGGCAACATTAAAAACATTACAGAAAGACGACAAGCCAGAGTTTGCACAGGTCAACTAACCTGATAGGAGACTGCGCATCAACCCTTTAAGGCATTAAGATATAAATAGCATCATAGGACTAGTGGGTTTTTGTTTGTTGTTGCAACCATTCAAATCCAGAGTGAGTGATCCAGTCCGTTCTCTTCAACGTCGACAAAACATTGGCTGGAAAAAATACCCCAAAGACATGAATTTGCGACTAACGCTGCAGGACTCCATGAAAGGTACATTTTAAATGAAGGGTGACTGAAGGGGAGGCCACCTCAGCTTGCATACCAAGCCAGCAGTGAGATACAGGCTCCAACCAACCCCATGAACAAGTTACAGCCAGGACAACTATCCCCGACTGTACACTCTGAAGCACTAGCGACAGGTGTCCAAGTCTATTAGCTTCCACGCTTGGGCCAAAATGCAAACTCTCTATTTTTTGTTGTTGTTGTACATATAATACCTTCACTCACGAGCAGATTGAAGCTGGTCTTCCCCTGGCTACCTTGAACAGTCACAAGTCTGGCTCAATGTATTGACTGTGTGGTGAGCACCAACCAGTCGCTGAGTCAGTGAGTGACACATCAATCAGCACAGCAGAGAACAGCACAGCACAGCACATCAATCAGCACAGAACAGCACAGCACAGCACAGCAATCAGCACAGAACAGCACAGCAATCAGCACATCAATCAGCACAG